TTACAAGAATATGTTACATTTTCAATATTACCATCAACTGATTTTACTAATAAAATTGATTGTGCATGTCCATTTTTATTTCCTAATGTAAATATATATATATAAAAAAAAGATAAATAAATATTTTTTTCTCTCCTCATTATTATTTATTTAGACTGCTATTTATTTTTCAATTCGACGTTTTTCACCAGATGTTATTCATATTGTTGAACAAACTCCAGCTGCTATGCTTTGTGGTGCATTTGCTAAATCATTAAATATTCCTATTGTTTGGTCTTCCCATACAAATATTGATTTTTATTTATCAACATATATACGTTCATATGCTGTTAAAATGACTCGATGTATATATCAATATATACGTTTAAAACATTTAATATATTCATCAATTAATTTAACAGTTAGTCAAGATTTTGCTGATTATATGGAACATACAGGTATACCACGTCCAGTTTTAGTTTGGAAAACTGGTGTTGATTCAGAATTATTTCATCCACGACGACGTTCATCATCTATGCGTTATCGTATGTTTGGTACATTAAATAATTTTACATATGAACAAATGGATTCAATAACATTATTTTTATGTGTTGGTCGTATATCACCAGAAAAAAATTTTGAATTTTTATCATTATTATTAGAACGTATACCAAGTGAAACATTTTTATGTATTATTGGTGATGGTCCATATCGTCATATACTTGAACCATTATTTCCAATAGATCGTGTTTATTTTTTTGGTTATCTTGGTGGTGAAGAATTAGCAAGTGCATATGCTAGTGCAGATTATTTTATATATGCATCAGTTAGTGAAACATTTGGACAAGTTTATTTAGAAGCTATGGCAAGTGGTACACCAGTTATAGCTGCTGAAGGTGGACAATTAAAAGAATTTTTTATTAATAGTGAACATGGATATTTATGGGAACCAGATAATATTGAATCAGCTGAACAAGCTATATATTTAGCTATGAAAAATCGTGATTATTTATCAATTAAAGCAAGACAACAAGCATTAAAACATTCATGGGATTCAGCTGCTGATCAATTAAATAATGTTTATTATAATGCTATTAAAAAAACAACTCAACATAAAGAAACTAATATTATTATAATTCTATTTCGTTTATTTTATTATGGTTTTCATTGGTTAATATGTATGCTATTAGCATTATTTTTAATGGCACCATTTGTAAAAGTTTCATCACCTAAATCGACTATGACACAAAATAATAATTTTTGTCGAAAAAAACAACAGATGTATATGACGGCAAAGAAATGTTTTTCATCTAGATAGATCTTCTTGCTGTTTTGTTTCCTTTTTTTTCTTTTTCATGTTGACGTCTCTCAGGATTAGGATAACATTCGTTGAATAATAGATTTTTTTTAATTCTTCTTTTCTTGCTGTTGTTGTTTGTTCTTGCTTCCTTTGCCCTCTTTTTCTTTCTTATAACAGTAAGTCTCATGTATCCTATTATCTTTTTCTTTTTGTGATACATCTTCTATTTTGAGATAAATAGAAAGAGGATAGAAAAAAAAAATTCAAATACTTTTGACATATTTTCTGTTGAATTGTTAAACTGAAACTCTAATTAGTTTTTTTTTTCTTTGTTTCACATTATAATGCCTATGAATTTTTGTTTGTTTTTTTTTACACTAGCAGCTTTCGTGCATATTCAAAGATAAAGGAAAATGGTTTTTTTTTGTTTGTTTATTCATAATCGCAAAAATTCTGCTTTTTCTCTTTTTCTTTTTTTGTATAACTCACTCGTACTACTCTACTACTCTACTGTATGAATGTTTGTTTGCGTCTCTAAATATGTTCTTCTTTTTTTGTTTCTTCTGTCTTTTTTTGACAAACAAAGAAAACTGAAATTAAAATTTGTTCTGTTTTTGAAAAGGTGGAAAGTTTTGCTGATGGATAAAAAAAAAAAAAAAAAAAGAAAATGATAATTAAATATTGACTGATTATTTTTTTGTTTTTGTTCTGTTATTGGTGATAAAAAGAGTTTTCATAAATAAGATTAATCTTGTAATAAATAATTAATATTCGTTTACAAGATTAAAAGCAAAAAAAAGAAAAGCAATAAATTACATTATCGAAATGATAAGGATATATTTAGTAATAGTCAAAACATTGATTTGTTTGTTAACATTGAATCTCGATAAATGAATTTTATTCGTTATATGTTTGTTTGTTTCGTTTGGTTAAGTCAATAGTATTACTTCAATATAATTTTATTAAGATTTGATCAAAGATATTATTAATCAAAAAAATAGAAGAAAAAAAAAACAAATATTGAATATATGCGATAAAAGTAAATCAGTTAATTAAATTTATTATCGACAAAATACAATGTCAAGAATGACAATCTCATATATGAATTGAGTGATAATTTATTATTTTCCTTTACAAACAAAAGAAATTGAAGTAATCTATATTAAGTGTTAGACAAAATTAACGACCACTTCTCCTGAAATGATATCATTATTTTTTTATTTTTGGACTAATATTTTTGGAACATGTAGGTCACCATGAATCCTAATCTCAAGCATCAACTTACTCTCTATCTGTTGACATCCATTGATATCAAAGATCGAATATTATCTTCACCTTACGATAACTATATCTCGGTCAATTTGACAGTCTCATTCAAAAGGTCAATATCATAGCTATCTCTAGTAAAATCACTTTAAAATACTTCAGATAGAATCTTCATATTGAAAACTTCTGCTAAATAGCAAATAATATTCATCAGTCAGGTACATCTAAGTTAAGATAATATCAACCGATTAACTTGACATTTTTATAACAGAGCTACTATAGAATGACACATCTAGGCTGCAACTCTCAGAGCCATAAAACTACATAGAACCGATATATAGTCATAAGATGAGTTCGTCAAGACATAATTTTCCAATTAATTCAAGCTTGAAGATATGAAATAGCCTTTGGGATAAAAGAAAAATATTCACATGAGGTTTTCTTTTCTACTAAAGAAATCATCTCTAATTGTTCTAATAGAGATGAGATAAACACAAAGTTCTACTATGATACTATAGAATATATAGTACAACAGAATAATTTTCAATAAACTCCAGGTCGTATCAACCGATTGAGATTGAGGTAGTACTTATGATCAAGATTCATTGAGATTTACACGTACCAAATATATTAGCTTAAAATAATAGATAATAATATCATTTCCGAGGGGGGTAAAGAGGATTGCTATATTTATCAAGTACTTTATAATAGCCATCCTTGATACACAAGAGGAAATCTCTTTTACTAATATAATCTATTTGTTTTTTTCTTTTTTTTTCTAACATTTTTTTTTTATCAATGTATAGTTTTCATAAGAAGAAAAGATACAATGGTAAACTTTGAATTTATTTTAATATTTACTTATAAGCATTTGTTAATAATATACTTTTAAGTTTACTTTTAATTAAAAAGAATAAACAATTCATATGTCTTTATTCTAACACGTCATATTCTGAATTGAGTTGAAAATATGACATTTTTAAGTATATAGACACTTAATAATAATAATAATAATATAACGTGATTGAACATGTTGGCTAAATATATGAGTTTAATTTGAATTTGCTACTATTCAAAAGATTTTAAATTTTAGCATTATCAGATAGAAAACAAATTTATATACATTTAATAAAACTATTTATCAGATGATAAAATAATTGTTTTTATTCACTGATGAATTTTGAAATTGAATAGAAATATTAAACAGATTCTAAACGTATGTTTAATTAACAAGATTTAAATTACAAAAAATAATATTCATAATTTCCTACGGAACCATTTGAAAATTTTTAAATACAAAAAAAAAAAAAACAAATAAACTTTTAAAATCTTTTGTATGTATCTCAATCTTTTCAAAAAAAAATCTAATTTATTATCAATGAAAACAAAACAAAAATCTGCTATTAGCTAATTCAAGCCTGTCAAATTCCTATTTATCTATATTTTTTTATCATTTACATAAATCTTTTTCTTATACAAAGTAATAATCATCGATCAAATCGATTTAATATCATTTATCAAGAATAATTATTCTACCACCCACTAAGATGAAAGTATACAATTTAAACAATAAATGTTCTTTTTTTTTTTTAGTTGATTATTATATACCTATATAAATAATAATTGTTTTGGCATTTTCTAATTTTGAACAATTCATTCAAATATTCTTAAATGTATATTCTATACAAAAGAATAACAATCATTATTACTTCCATATGCACATTATTCGAATGTCGCCTTGTCAACCTGCTGTTATTCATACACCATTATCATAATCAAACTAGAGTACAAACACATGTGTACACCATGTACATATCTCTTCTTTTTCCTTCTATTGAGCTCTCAACAAATGTTGATTATGTTATACCAAACTCATTAAAAAAAAGAAAGAAAGAACGTATGTCTATATAATATATATATTCTCTAATCATCAACATTCATTCCTCTGGCATTGACCATTACCATTAGTAACTAAGCAAGCACTTTAATATTACTTCACCTGTTCTTCCGTTAGAGAAGGGTAAATACATACATATATATATATATATATGACTAATCGAGAGATTATTGAACAATCATTTTTTGCTAGAAAGGTCGAATTTTTGCATGATTAACTCACTAAATACTATTAGGTGTGATATCAAGCAGATAAAATGCAAAGTTGGTTCGATTTTTTTTTTTACCAACGACAAATAATTTATAAAGAATTTTTTTTTTTTTCGCACACATAAACAAATAATTGAAAGCAAAAAATATATATAGACATTCAAACACGAAACAACAAATCTACTCACACATACATACACATATAAAAAAAAAAGCGAGAGAGAAAGAGGAAGACAGAGAAAGAAACGAGAAAGTATACAACTCGACTGTTACTTGCCCCAAAAAAACAGAGGACATAATATCTTAATCTCGTTTTTTAATTATATTATCTGACCAATTTGAAAAATTTTCATTTACAAAAATGTTTTTCAACTCTTTTAATGCAACGTTTACATCGTACTTCGCAACACCAATGAAATTGACATTCACAATCTTCTTCAATTGTACTTATTATTGTTTCATAACCTCTGTCACAACATAATACTGAACAAGAACCAGGTTCATTTATTGTTAAATTACATTCACGTCCTTGTGTACCTAATGAACCAAGACGAAGGTTTTTCTCACAAAATGATGGTGAATTATGAATATAAATAAGATCTGTTGTATTGAATAATTTCATTAAAGTTTTACGTGGTTTAAGTAAACCGAAACGACGATTAAGTCGTACTTGTGTTGCACTTGCATATTTAGTACGTAATTCTGAACCAATAAGACGAAAATCGGGTAATGTACGCCAACAAACACGTAATGTACATGAACCACTAACACCATGACATTTACATGTTAATTGAACATTTCGTTCAACAGCCTAGATTAAAAAAAAACACAAATCTTCTGTTGTTGTTTTTTCAAAGAGAAAATTTTTTAATTCTTACTTGTCTACCGGCTTCATTATTATGTAAATTAACCATGCGTACAATACGACGTCGACTAACGAATGATTCTTGTTCATCAATAAATGATACACTAACATTTCGACCAAATTTTAAATCATCTGAACAACCACCCCATTCAAATCCATCATTTGTTTGTGATATAGGTGTTGATGAAAATAATGAAATACTCATTGATGGTGTTGAACTAATTGGATATTTTAACATAGCTCGTGTACGTATTGATGATAATGATAATGATGATGATGATGATGATAAGAATGATGGTTGACTTTTATCACAACCACATTCAGTTAATTCACCTTTTGCACAAGCTTTTGCAATACTATGCATAACTGAAGCCGATGTAAGTGCATAGATAAAAGCTGTTTCTGGTGTTTCTAAAACAAGAAAAATCATTGTGAGAATGTGAAAGGTGACACTTGACGATGGCGTCAGTTTAATTGTCCTTCTTGCTTGATTACATCCAATTATAATAGAATAAGAAAGCTTATTTTTCTCTAGGTGGTCTAATTATTTTTATCTTCAATATACAATCATATATTTAATGATTGACATATTGTGTATAGAAGATAAATATTAAAAGATCACGGTTATTGATATATATATATATGAAAAAAAAGAAAAACTTACTTCTTAAAACAAGTTTTCCAAAAACATCTGATTGATTAAATATTGAACAATTCCAACGTTGATTACGAAATTGATATTGACATTCTTCAATAGCTTGACGTAATGAACGACTTATAATTGAAAATATTTTTGGATTTACTTGACAATAATAACGTTGGTCAGGAGTTAAAAATGTTAATGAAGTACAAAATGGTTCTTGATTCTTTTGAGTTGATGACCATAATTGAAATGAAGGTAAACCAAGAGACCTATAATAAAACAAAAAAAAAAAAGAAGAAGATAGACATCATGCCTTAAAGGGTATAATTATGTTTAAGTATGAAAGAAAAATGATATTAATATTTATATCTCTTCTATTCAATACAAAAAAATCTCGGGTGTTGGTTTTTTCTTCTTCTTCTCTTTCACTTTAATCATTATCGATATATTCTAAAATAAAAATTTCGATTATTTACCACCAAAATGCAGATGTTGTTTGAATAATAATAATAAAAATAATAAAAAATTGTTGTTGTTGTTGGAGAAGATACATATTATGTGACGATTGTTTAAGTGATTATATTTGAATTATGAATATAAGTATGTTTATATATATGTTTAAGAGAATAAAAACGAGTACAGAGACGAGACAAATTGACGCTTTACTACTATTACGATTACTCTCGTCTTGTGTTTGTTGCTGTCGACAATACAATAATGATGACAAGCAGACTTGTGTGCAATGTTTATGTATGTATGTATCGATCAAAACTGTGGTGTGACGAGAAGAAGGAGAAGTAGAAGAAGAAGAAGAAGAAGAAGCGAACATTTCTCTCCTTTTCTCTACCCTTTACGAAAGGAGAGAGAGAGAGAGAGAGAGAGAGGAAGCCAGTCTATGGACAGATATTTTTCTCTCTTTCACGACGAAAAAAAAAAAAAGAAAAAAGAAAAAGAGCAAAGAGCGAGAGCGAGAGAGCGAGCGTGAGCAAGGTGAAAGTGATATAGCCTCAATTAGAGGTATGTACGTTAAATCGATAAAGAAAACTGTTGATTGGCTTTTAAGAAATTTAGTTTTGTAATGATGTAGTCAACAGTAAAAGAAAATCACGAGGAAATGCAATGATGGAGTGAACATCCGGTGTCCGATTGTACTTTAATACGCAAGTTTTTACTGATTGTAAAGCACTTGAAACTGTTTGCTTACTGATCGCATATTCATATTTCCGATTCTCTATTTCTTCTGTCAAAATTCACTGAACTGTCAAGAGCAACTGAGTAAAATTGAGGCAAGAGTAGAATGAATATTGTAATATAACTGAAAATGCATAAAAAAAAAAAAAAACTTGAATTCCTGATTTTCATTATTATTAGCAGCAAGAAAAAAAAAAAAGTTTATTTATTTTGCTTTCATTTATTTTTTGTAAATTGTTCATTGAACAATTTTTATCTTTGTTTTTCGTTTGATCGGTACTCAAGTTATCTTGTTAATGGTCATCCTATATGAGCATCCCTACGTGTGTATATATATGTCATCAAAGGCAATGTATTGAAAGAAAAGAGTCTCATGCTGTCGAGCTATTAAATCGCTCTATTGGATGAAGCATATTATGTCAAAATTGTATGCGAAATGTGCACATGTAAGCATGCCTGTTCAACATCACCATAATCATAATCATCATCATCATCATCATCATCATCATCATCATCATCATTGCATCTGTCCTCTTTCTCTATTTCTCATCAATAAGTCTTTGAAAATTTTAACAGCTGTCTTAATTATTTCTACTGAATATGTTAGATCATCATTTTATGTGATTTTTTTTTGGCATCAAACAATACAAATAACAGTTTGAAATGTTGTTAATATACATATATATTCAAATGTCGAGGTGGTAGAATGTTCATATTAGAAGTAATAAAACAAGCGTATAAAATGAGAAGTAAAAGAAACAAAAAAAAAAATCGAACGATTAAGGCGTGAATAAACCCTTTGAGGACAATTTTGCACATTACTACCAGCTTGCATATCTATAAAACAAAAAAAAAAACATTTGTTTTCTCTATATCACCTCAATCAACAATGTGAGAAAAGATTAGTTTGAGAAGATGAACATCAAATATTGTTGTATTATTTTTATACAATTGATCAATATCACGTCATAATCACCTTCGTATAACTATTTAATTTAATTGTGTGATAACATCATGATGTGTATATATATATATATAATTTTGTTAGATAAGAAAAAAACATAGATATGTATATATACAAAGAGACTATGAATGTTTAAATATAAAATCTGAATAATAAAAGATAGAATATTAAACTTATTGATAAAGGTCTATTTAACTTAAATTTTCGATTATTTCTATTCTTAAATTATTCAAAACGGGAATTCAATTCGATTTACTTTGTCTGTTGATCATAATGATTTTTTGATTTAATCCACACTTTCTTTCTTTTTTTTTTTTTTCTTATGTGTTATACTATTTAATGATTAAATAATCAGTTGCATATGCAATGAGTTCTTGCATGTAATTCAGTAAGATATTAAAACGAATAAAAGAAAAAGAAAAGTATGAATATAGGTCAATGATGAATTTTAATATTAATGAAATGTAGAAATAAAATATGAAGAAGAAAAAAAAACTGAATAGTTCAATCAAAAGATTGATTTGATTATAGGATTCATATTTATTTTTTATTTAAAAAAAAAATATATATATCGATATTGATATTGATGTGTGTCTTATAATCAAAAATATTGATCGATCGTTTTGATCGCGTGCAATATTAATTGATAGGCAGATCGATCGTTCTCCTTGTATTGATCATGTTTAATTATATATATATATATATGTATATATAAAGAATAAACCATATCCATATAGTTTATACTGAAGGACTTGAGTTTTCAATCTTTAACCTTAAAGATTTGAAAATTAATAGTGTATTTATAATTACATTAAGCTCAATTAGTGTTGTTAACAGACGATCGTTGTTGGTATTTCTCAATGCTCTATGGTCTTGAGGGAAATTTATGAAATATAATATCAATCATATTTATTATTACGTTTTTATTTCTTTTCGTGGTAGGACGAAAACGATCAATAATAGAACACCGCCCAGTCTAGTCCATCCTTGATTACACTACTAAGCTTAATAGATATTTATAAATATATAATAATAATGCATTTTAATTAAATGACTTTTTTTTCCAGAAAATAGCGTCATCTGTCCTTGCTTCTTAAATCGTTGTTTCCGATTGCATATGTGCAAAATATGTGTCATAAATTTCGTAATAGTTTTCAGCTGTTTAAAAATTCAAGAATGTTTTCTCTACATTTATTATTTAAAAAAATAATTTATGATTATTAGAAGTTAGTCGAAAAAAAAACCAACATGTTAGCTAGCCTGAGACAATCATAATCAAGACGAAGAAGAAGAAGAAGAATATAAAATTTTGTTAATTATTTAAATCTATAAATTACACATTGTAATAAAACGTGTAAATTATATATATATATATAATTTGTTTTTAGATTGAGAAATAAAATATCAATAATGAATATCGATCATCGAGTTATAGCTTTAATTGATATGGATTGTTTTTATGTGCAAGTTGAACAAAGACTTCAACCTGAATTTCTTGGTAAACCATGTGGTGTTTCACAATATTATACTTGGAAAGGAGGTGGGTAAGTGTGTGATTGATTTTTGTTTGTTTGTTTGTTTTTGAAGAAAAAGAAAGCGTAAATGTATTGTTTAGTCTTATTGCTGTTAATTATGAAGCTCGAGATTTTGGTGTTAAACGAGGTAAATGAAATTCTTTTATTGCTGTAATATGAATAAGCAAATATGAAATTGAATATAGGTATGCGAGGTGAACAAGCAAAAGAACTTTGTCCAGATTTTCATATATTTCATGTTCAAGAAGTTAATGGAAAAGCTAATTTAAATAGGTAAGAATATTTTATTCTTGGTATTGAATATTCAAAGAATTCGATCTAATACGAATATAAACAACGAGAAAGTGATATTCGATAATTGTTCGTATTTGACAATCCGGATTAATTAATAAAACTAGACATATTGAAGTCTAATTAAGATTAGTCCCTTTCCATCCTTTCATAACCTAAAATTCTTGTTTTGTTTGTGGCTGTTATACACTTTGAAGTAGTATCTATCTATTGAATACATTTTGGGATCCAAAAATTAGCTTTAAATGTTACAAAAAATATAATTTACGTGACAAAAATTGTATATCATTTCGCATTTTTCCAGGAAAAAAGACGTACAGAAACAGCTCTGATTCTTCAGCCTAGTACATCCGATCGAGCTGAAACTATTTTCACATACACTATACACTGTTCATAATGGATTTTTGTTTTTTTGTGTTTCAAGAAGCATTGTTCTGTTAATTTTTAGTAGCTCTTTTCAAAAAAAACATGTATTTTTCTAAAGGGTATCTTCGATATTTTGGCTTTTGTATTAGAAAAACAAAAATATACTCACCATAAAACAGTGTCTAGTGCTTACAAAAAAAAAAAATCTTCAGCTCGATCGAATATAGCATTCTCGAAGAAACGGAAGCGAAAATTAAAGCCATGATAATCCCAGTATCTCATAGAAGACAGCATCCGGAATAACAATTTTTGCTCTACTCGTCACGATCGATGTGCCCTTGGAATTTCCAATTTTTTTTGATGAGTCTTGTAAATACTTTAAAATTCAAATATCTCAGTCCGTGCATGCCAATGTCATCATATATTATAAATTTGCTAGTTTAGTGGTGAAATCTTTAATTTAACCCGAATATATCTAATCTTATTAACTAACAACGTTTACACTTTGTTGTTTTTGTTATTATCTATTGACATTGTATTTCATTAAAGAGTTTCCTTCCCTCTCAAGAAAAAGAAATTCAAGATTTAAATAAAATTTTTTTTTTCGCTTTTTTAAAGATATCGAGATGCAAGTGCTGATGTATTTCGTGTATTAAATGCAAATTTTAAACTTGTTGAAAAAGCAAGTATTGATGAAGCTTATATTGATTTAACAGAAGATGTTCAAAAATTAAAAGATAAAAAACTTCAATTAACAATAAATGATTTTTCAACAACACATTTAGCTGGTTTTACAACTAAAACTGAAGATGAACGAATAGAAATTTTAAATAAATGGTTAAATGATTGTCAATTAGATGATGAAAAACGTAATTATGATCTTTTACTTGGTGCTCATCTTGTTGAACAAATTCGAAAAAAAATAAAAGATGAAACAGGATTTTTTTGTTCAGCTGGTATTGCTCGAAATAAAGTAAATAAATACCTTTTTTTTTTTGTTGTTTTAAAAATCAAAAACAAAAAAAATTTCTTTTGTTTTCTTAGATTTTAGCTAAATTATGTTGTGGATTTAATAAACCTAAAAAACAAACAATTTTTACACAATCAGATATCGATCATATATTTGATAAAACACCAGTACAAAAAATGTATGAAAATATTATTATTAAAAATTTTTATTGTTGATTTTCTTTTTTCTTAGTCAAG